CAATCAGATAACCATACCAAAATAATGCCAATCAATCAAACCAAAAATCAAACAAAATTTGGGAAAGAAACCCAAATCAAATTCCAACAGCTAGTACATGGCTTGGATCACTGTGTTGTTAAATCAGTAGAGGCATTCTTTATAGTAAATAATTTACTCTTCTTGCACTCTTTGTTGCTTGAAAGGTGAGAGATCTCTTATACTGCAATGAGTCTCAAGAATTTTTATCATCAATTGGGTGGCTGCAGGCCAAAGTGATACAAGTCATCTGAGATATAATAGGAGCAGAAGAAAATCGAACAATGCCGGCAGTGTTTGTGGGCTGATATTATATATTTCTGATAAACGCAAATTCACTTGAGCGGTTGATGTTGAATTTTAGTACCATGTGTAACATGTTGCCTGTTGGAACTTAAAACTTGATTTTTCTTAATACTGAAATACAAAATAAAAAATATACTGGAAACTATATGTATCTTCAGAGTCCATAATTAGCATTGCTTTTAGAGGTTGCTTTTAACTTTTTAAAAGAAGCTACCACAGGTCAAGATGTTCGGTAAATTTTCCTTTTGACTAGCAGCTTCTAAAAACTGCTCCCTAACATCTTAGCCAATCTAAGGTGATATTAGTTGACAATTTCATAGAACTAGCCGTCTAAAGAACTTAAAACAAGAGAAAATAGGTAATAAAAACATTCCATGTGCAAAATGGTTTATTTACCATTTGTCTAATCGCAATATTTTATTTTAGATATACTGCCAATATTAAGTTCTTGCATATGCAGCAAAACTATGCAAAACTTAAAGTTTGTTTAGTATGTTAATTTGAGTTGAGATGTGACTTTATGTTATAATTTTTTACTTATAACAAAAAAGTTAGATGTGATAGTTTCTGATAGCTTTTTATTGTAACAAAACTCGAATTTTAAATTCAAATCGGTGAAATGAACGGACCTTTAGTTATTTTGCTCTGTTCCTGTAGCCTCCTGGATAAGGTTAGGTACAAGGGTGAAAATAGGACAAAAGCCTTTTGAGTTCACAAATTATTTGATGAAGAATTATTCGCTGCTGATTTCGTGACTCATAATGGACTTTCACTGTACAAAATCTTCGAATGAGTCACTATCTGTTCTAACTAATGAGACTTAAATTTGCAGGGCAACCTGTAACTGCTTTATTTCTTACATTTTTCTTCCATATTGTTCATTTCTCGGGTGGAAAAGATGGGAAATAAAAAAGTTAGTGAAAATGTTGACCCACAATTATAGGATGCATAATCATACTTCTTTAAATTCTGCTTTAAATTGTATTTTCTTTTCGTGGAGTTTTACTTTCAGTGCTTAGGGATTTGTTGTTAAAAGAGGTCCTTCCATTTTATGTTAGTTTCTGAAAACTTAGAATAAACTTTTTCAACTGTGACAGTTGTAGGTAGTGCTCGGATTTCACAAGATTTTATTTTATTTTGTTGCTACTAAAGCCAAAGCTTTTTCCATAGACCTATCACTTTTAAATTTTATGGGTAGGGTTCCATCTTTCTCTGCTTAATGAATAAGTAGACTCAAAAGTACAAAATATCAGCATTTAAGTTTGTTATAGGAATTTTGGCTCCTTCAAATATGCTTTTAAAAGCCGACAGCTATAATCAATTGGTGGAGTTGTTTTCCATTGCTGCAATCATCTTTTCAATGAAATTTTGTTAGTGAAATTGTTGCTAGAAAATTACGAATAGGAGCGGGTTTGGCTAGAATGATTTTGATTTTTGCCTCAGAATTGGTTAAGCAACGTGTGAAAAGTTTTAATTAATGGGAAAAAAAAAGTTTGAAAGGTATAGGAAATGCAGTGAAAGCTCTTGTTGAGTTCAAACAATACGATAGTTGGAAAGTGGTGCTCAACATAAAGTGATGATGTTAGTAATAAAACTTACGTTTTATGTTAGTGTTAAAGGAAAGTCACGAGTGATGTGATTCTCTCTATTTGTGGTTTTACAATGAGATTGGAATGAGACCAACACATTTTATTATAGTATTAACTGCAGTCGCAAGTGGTGTTATTCTCTTTCTCATTGTCCTTACAGTACGGCCCAAATGAGACCAATGAGACTCTCATTGTGTTAAGTGCAGTCACTAGGAGACTCGAATAGGACTTGTTAGCCGAAATAGTATGGATAATACAAACGAGGAATAAGTTAAGGAAGAATAAAACCGAAATTCATACAATTGTAATTCAACCTTTGTAGCAAAACTTAGAAATGGAAATTGCAAGAATGTCGAGGCACGTGGAGCACGTTTTCCTTAAAACAGATTCGTCCCCTCCGGCATGTGCTTGAGGTTACGTTGGACGTCCGTCTCTCAAGATACAACGACAACGACGGTAGCTCGATGCACTTTCGGAACCGTCCGGCGAACTAGAACTTGATCTTTCCTCTATCACCAAAACCGAACTACAAGAACACAAAGCACAAAAAACACGGGGACAGAAACAGAAGTGAGAGAAGAGAAGAAGAATTCCGAAAAATGAGTGTTTTGTTCATGTGGAGGATGGTCCTTATATAGCCTGCCCGTGAGGGATGTTACAAGGCTGTAATGAAGGTGAATAAAACCAATTTATTCATGGTTTGATGGTGCTTGAATTATGTGGTTACAGCCCCTAGAATTCCCGGATGAATCTGGTCCAAAAAGAAGTCTACAACTGGAGGTTTAATGTCCATAAACCAATGGTTATTGCTGCAGTTTCTACATCCTTCACTAATGCAGATTTTAAACAACCACTAATGAGTCAGTTTCGGAATTTAGTTGGCAAAATAAAAGAAAAAATTGCAAAAGGTAGCTCGTACGGAGTGAGTTTTTCCGGTCCGGCATTCGTGTTCGCAGGTCGCGGGTGCACACATTGGCCCCCAACCCGCCGGGATCGTGATTCGCACTCCCCCTGCGCGTGAGAGAGTGTCTCTGGTATACATGCTTACCTAGGCTTCAAAGTGCAATCACTTATAAACACCACATTGGCTTCACTCTTAGCCAATGTGGGATTTTTACAATTTTCCTTCTTCATTTACCATTCCAAGTACCATACTTAGACCATCAATTTCTCATTCACCCAAAAACCATTTTGAGTGTATGAATACTCGATTTCGATCTCCTCGCGACAGAGAACGCAAATCTATCGAGACCCGTCCCAAAAACCTATTTGGCCCCATCCAAATATGGGCCTCAAAATGGGCCTTTAAAATGACTTAACAAGCCATTTTTCTAACAATCCCCCACATGAATGAAAAATTGACCCACGACAAGAAAAACACAAACTCGACACGGTGATAGAGTTCTGCGGTCGATGCCTGCAAAGGATAGGTAGGCTGTACCCCTTGAACCTTTCCTTGTGAGAATACAAAAACTTTACTGGCTGACCAGTTGAAGCGAAGGCTTTGAACTGTTCTGCCTTCGTGTAAACGTTATTATACTTCACACAGACATCTTTCTGACACAGTTCTGTTCTCATGGTTATGTTCGTTGCGGCCATGAACATCTACCTGGTTCTGCCAGAGTTTCTAAAGAATTGAGCCCTCACAATTCTCCTTTGAAGCGGCCCCACTTCACTCTCACATAGGTGATTTCTTAATGAAGAGTAACCCGTATTACTCCGCTCAGATTCCTGATGTATCCGACGCATAAGAATCATTAAAAACCAATGTTTAACCTTTTTCACGTACGGGTTTCACTGTTATCATCATAGGAATTGGCTGGGGTTACCCCCACAGTGAACTCAGCCGGTCTAGACAATTTAGTTGTCCCATTGCTTCAACCTATTTTTTCATGGGCTTCAATCCCATTCCTCTAGATGTTTTTTTCAACTTGATCTCGATTCAGTCTTTTGGTCAGCGGATCCGCAATATTATCTTTCGACCTTATATAGTCAACGACTATGACTCCTGTTGAGATCAATTGTCTAATGGTATTATGTCGACGACGTATATGTCTAGACTTACCATTATACATTGTATTGTGTGCTCTACCAATAGCTGATTGGCTATCGCTGTGTATGCAAATTGCATGTACAGGCTTTGGCCAATCCGGAATGTCCTCCAAGAAATGTCTAAGCCATTCAGCTTCTTCGCCACATTTATCCAGAGCAACAAACTCAGTTTCCATCGTGGATCTGGTTATTACCGTTTGCTTAGAGGATTTTCATGAAATAGCTGCACCACCTAAGGTGGCAACAACATGACGAAACCCGATATCAAATCCGGAAATGACTCAAGATCTCTCAAGTTTGATGGAAACCGCGACCCGTTGCTTAGCAAAGCAAGAACCTTAGTATGATGAAGACGCCACAAATGGATATGGAAATTCCGTTTGATAAGTCAATTTGAATGCCACAAGGAATCCTTGATAAGTTCAGAAAAGTTTCTTCAAGAACTCAAGAAGCATAACTCACAATATGAATAAACATAAAAAACTACTTTGCATAATCTGAAAGTCAGCCTTAAATAGCCGAAATTACAATGAAGTGTTTTAATTGTAAAAGTCATAACTACTTTTAATGAGATAAACACGCCTAAAAACCCTAGGAATGAATCAGATTTTGACTCAAAATAGCCTTCCTCCTAAACATGCCTATAATGGAATTTCAAATTTTAAACTGAAACTTAAAACTAAAAAAAAAAATAGGATTACAAAGAAATCAAATCTTGATCAGATCTTCTAAACTTCTTGAATCTTGTTTTGAATCTTGAACTTCTTGTAAACTTGAAAACATAATCTTGACTTGATTCTTTGCTGGAAAACACTCCCACATCAGCTTGGAATCGCCCTTGCACGTGTATCCCGGAATGGACAGGCAAGTTGGCCATGCGATGGCTCAATGGACGTGTATGAGTGATTGGCTCTCTTTCGGATCAACTTTGATGAGTAAAACCAACCTTTGTTCACCCTCAGTAGTGAACACTCTCTCTTCTTGTTGTAGAACTCTCCAGACTAAGTTATTCAGCTCTTCTTTGAATCTTTTAGCTCAAGCCCTCGTCACCGGACCAACTGAGACTCTAATTGGATCGTGAGCATTCTTTACAGCCTTGATGTCCTCATCAAAGGCATTGCTCACCATCAACTCCTCACTCAGCCCCAACTTCACCACGAAAGCATGAATCGCGATCCCCATATCTATATCCCCCTCGGCAGCGCACACAGGTAACAAAGTCACTACGGTAGCATCATCCGGCAGCAAACCCACCACCAAAATCTCCCTCAACAAGCCATGACTCTCTATACACAAACCATTCTCTGAGAACCCGCGAATCATCGAGTTCCAAGAAACCAAGTTCCTCTCAGGCATTTTCTCGAACACAGGAACCGCGTCCTCCAAAAACCCGCACTTCCCATACATCCCAACCAGCGCATTGCCCACAAAAACATCTGACACCAGCGCCATCTTCACCGTCATCCCATGAACCTCCCACCCCAACCCGACGTCCAAAAGCCCCGAACAGGCCTTAATCACACAAGGCAAAGTGTCACTATCGGGTTGAAATTCAGTCTCCGAAACCAACCCAACAAACGCTTTCACCGCCATCATGATAAAGCTCATTTCTAGCGTACGCGCTAACGAGGGCATTCCACATAAACAAGTTGTTTCTCTCGACTCCATCGAAGACGGAACGGGAATCCAAAGGAGACCCGCACAAGGAGTACATGGTGATGAGACGGGTGTTGAGAACGAAGTCATTGCGAAACTGGGTCAATTCTAGAATCATGTGATGAACTTTGCGTCCGATTTCGATGTCTTTGTGTCTCCCACACACTTGTAACAAGACCCCAATGGCGTCTTTCCTCACCGGAGCTGAAACGTTGACATTTTGTGAGTCGTTTTGGAGGAAGGTTAGAGCTTCGGTGAGATTCCCGGATTCGCAGAGGTTGGTTATGTGTTGGAGTTGCAGAGAGTTTGCTGGTTTCTGGGTTTGTGCGGTGGAGAAAGATAGAGAGGCTTTTGGTGGGGGGATTGAGTTATGAGAGCGTTTGGTTGAGTAAGTTGGAGGAGGTTGGTTATGGCGGTAGTGGCATGAAACTGGTGGCGTCATCGACGCCATTTTTTTTTTTTTGTGGGCTTTACTGGGGGAGTTGCCTTTAGTCTGTTATCCGCAGTCACGCCAGCGTTGTTGAGAGGTATACCCGGCAGTGCACGGTTCGTTATGTTGGTTTGTTTCTTCTACGCCTGTGAGTAAGCTAATATACGGAGAGTATTTTTTTCCTCTTAATATGAGAGCTCGAGGGTACTGTTCACACATTCTTTCTATAGTAAAATGATGATTTTATCCTTGATTTACTACTCCCTCTTTCATCTGGTATAGGGGCGGTTTGGTCTTTAGGTTTTGTTGTCGTTTGCTTTGTCATTGGCGTGTGGTTTTTGGTCATTTCGCGTGTGAAAACCTATGTTTGCTCCTTTAAGGAGTTTCTACTTTTCTCCACCGTTTTGTCTTTTTTTTTTCTTTCTTTTCCTCCTTTGATTTGTTTCTTTCGCTTGGTTTGGGCTAAAATCTTGCATCTGTTCTCTTATGGTTTCGATCTCTTTACCCCTTTTGTCTCATTTTCGTGGAGAGTTGGGATTTTTATCTCTTTTCTCTTATGGATTTTTTGAGTATTTGGATTTGCGATCTACGTTGGGTTTTTGTTTTTTTGGTGTTCTTGCTGCAGGGATGTCCGATTCTTCTTGCTTGCTCCATTGGTTTCGTTCATTGTTTTACTTTGGGTTTTTATGCGGTTTTCTTAGAGTGCATGCTTCATCGTTTATTTTTCCCTGTGTCTTTTCAGTATTTTTAGTTCCTTTTTGTCTGGTGTTTTATTTTGCTACTATTTTCTATAAATTTTTTGGAACTCATTAATGTGTTGGTGCAGGATTCTTCCATTCTATCGGTGGATCTCTGTGTTCCTCGGCTTTGGTTGTCTTCATTTTTGATTTTTCAGTTTGGTTTTTCTGCTCCTTTTTATTTCTTGATCTTTCTGGTTTAATGTATCTGATAATTTTGTTGCTGTTACATTCTTACTCCTTTTTTATTCTTTCATGTTCTGCTTCTGTTGTTGTTTATATTTTCTTTGGTGTTTTTATAGCATTGGTTTAATTTCCTATTGTGAGTTTGCTCTATTATGTTTTTATTTATGTGTTTGCTGATGTAGCTATGTTTGATGTTGGTCTCATTCTTCGTTTCAGCTTATATCTTTTTTCGCTTTGTTTGATTTTGTATGTTTATTCCGTTCATTTATTTTTTTTCTGTGGTTTTGGAGAATTATGTTTTGATTTATTTCTTGATTGGTATAGTAATTTAGAAAGATTGCATGCTTAGTTTATTTTTCCTCCTGTTATTAACGTTTCTTTCTGTTGTGTTTCCCGCTATTTGGTTCCAAGCTTTGGCTATTTAAATTCTTTAACATTTGGCAACATCAGATGCGATTTTTGAGTGGATAGTACATATGATTTTTGAGATTTTTTTATTTTTTATCTTTGACTCTTCATCTTCATTTGTTTTTGTATTTAGTCAAGAATCTTTATATGGATGTTTCTGTGTTGTCTCGACTGATCTCCATATTTTTTCTAAAGCATTTATTAAGGTAATGACTTATAATATCTACAATGCTTATTTGTCCTGCCACGTTGATCATTTATACCTATGTTACTGTAGAAATATTAAATGAATCTTTTATTCTTATCTTTTTCTCGCAATGGGAAAGCAATTTTGTGGGCCAAAAAAATTTGATTGCTTTTCTTTTCCCTTCTTTTCTTTTTCTTCATGTCCTTCTTTGGTAATTTTTCCCCCTTTGTTGTTCCTATTTCTTTCTTTTCTTTCATGTTTTGTTCTTCTTTTTGCAGGTGATTACTATGTTTTTTCTTCAGGTGATTACTATGTTTTTTCTTCAGCATTTATTAAGGTCATCATTGTACTATATGTACTGTCTATTTGCCCTGCCACGTCAATTATATGTACTCATATCACTGTAGAAATATTGAATGAATCTTCTATTTTTTTCTACTTTCTGCAACTGGAAAGAAATTTCTGTGAATGAAAAAGTTTGATTGTTTTTTCTTTTACCTTTTGTTTCTCCATTTTATCATCTAATTTTTCCCGTTTTTGTGGTTCCTTTTTTTTCCCTATTTTCTTTTGATAATGTATTATTTTTATTACTTAATTTAAGAATTTTAGTTTTCTATATCCTATCCACTGACATTTTGTTTTACGTGTAATCGCCTTAGTGGTGGTGCATTTGCTCTCTATTTCTATATTTAAGAATGTCCCTACCGATGGACTTATTATACATGTCCCCATTTCTCTCTCTCCTCTTTCACCTATTGCTTCCCTATCCTAGTTTACATCATTTACTGCTCTTTTAGCCGGTCTATCATTTAGTGCTTGACCTTACTTAATACTTGACTGTCTTATTTATGAGCCTTTCACTCTTGCTTTCATCTGGTTGACTGACATTTTAGATTTAAGTTGTTATCTATATTGATCCAGGTACTGTTCATAATCACTATCCATATCTATCTAATTCATATCCCTGATGGTGGATGCATTCATTTGCTAGGATAGTATTGATATTTACTGTTATTTGTCCTTTTTCTCTTTGTATTTGCTTAGTAAGTAGTCCTTATACATTTACTGTTTCATTTGTTTTCTGATGATGTATACATGCATATATATAGATACATATATATATATTTCTCTACCTATTTTAGTCTTCGTTTAGTCTTGGTAAGTTACTTTGCATGGCAATGATGATAGTAATTAATTTTGATGTGTTGAGTTTTATATAGTTTCTCTAGAAATAGTTGTGAATATTCTTTTTCTAATTTGATTTTGATCTTATTCATTATTTTTCAACTGGACTTTATAAAGTTTTTTCCTCCTTTTTTTGCTTATTCTACTAATTTTGATCATTTGGTTTCTATTATTTTGCTAAAATATTATCCATGGTGACATAAAATTTCTTTTCCCATTACTGACCTTTTGTTCTTCTATATTATTGTTCCTATTTAATGCAAAAAAAAAAGGGAAAAACCCATCTTATCTTATTTTACTATTCTTATGATATTTATGGTTTTCCTACTATTCCATTTACTACTTTTAGCCTAATTTCTTTTGATTTCCTGAGAAACAGATTATAGTTTTTGTTATTTTGTCAATATTAATTTTTTTTTTCACTCTTTCTCTTTCCTTTTCCTTTTGTTTTGTACTTTTTTTTAATTCACTTTGTAATCTTTGGACAATTTTATATATTACTCCATTTACTCACTTTGTATCACATAAAAATTATCATCGATGTGATAAATATAATATCTTATAGTGTTGTGCAGTTGCCCTTAGCAGGTAGCTACAAAGTTGCCCTTAGCAGGTAGCCACAACTTATTTATCACACATTGCTGAAAATATTCCATATCTAAGCCACAATTACTATATAAAAATGTTGCTATAACTATGTTTTTTCATTTTTTAAGCCTGCCTTTCCTTTTTTTTTTAATTCATTTATTTGCTTACTTAATTATTCATATACATATACATACACACAGATATATACATATATAAAAATATATATTTATTTGTCTATTTTAGCTGTAATAAATTAATCTATGTGGCAATGATGATAATGATTGATTTTGATATTTTAAGTTTTAAATAATTTGTCCAGAGATTATTATGAATGTTCTTTTCCTAATTTGATTTTCATTTTGTTCATTGTTTTTCAATTGAATTTTAGAATGTTTTTATCTTTATTGTTTTCACTTATTGTATCCGTTTTGATAATCTTTTTTCTATTATCTTATTCAAATATTATCCATAGTCACATAAATTGTTTTTCCATTGTTGATCTTTTCTCCTTCTATGTTATTGTTCCTGTATTTCTTTTCGCTATTTCCATTTGTTAAAGTGGTTTTGGTAATTTCTTTTCTAATCATTGGTTTCTAGCACTTTTTCTTTTTCTCTCAGTTTTCTTGGTATTCTTTTTGTATAGGTGACAGTTTCTATCATTTTGTTATATACTATCTTTTCTTTTTTTTTTACCATTTTCTTTTTTTATTCACCTGGTAGTTTCTAGAGAATTTTATATATTACTCCACCTATTTATTTTACATCATATATAAGCTACAATATGTGTGATAGATGTAATATCATCCTTTTTTGTGTAGTTGCCCATAGTAGGTAGCAACAAAGTTGCCCTTAGCAGGAAGCCACAACATAGCTATCACACATTTATGAAAATATTACATATCTGAGCCATAATAAATATATAAAATTGTTACTGTAATTGTGCCCTTTAGTTTTTTTATTTTATTGTTTCCTTTTTCTGTTTTTTTATTCATTTTCTTACTCAATTCTTTGTATTTTATAAGATGTCCTACAATTGTTGTCCTGCGCTGTTAGATGTGTATAGTTGATTGTTGCTTAGCATTGGCTGTTTTATATAGCAAAGTTTAAGGAAAATTTGTAGCGTTTGAGGTACGTTTATTAATTCCTATCTAGAATTCTATAGCAATTGTTGCCTGCAATATACATATTATTTTTCTACGTCAGATGTTAAAATAAGTCGTCTCTATCTTTCTTAATATGTAGCAAGTAAAATCATTGGAAAAGATTTCTATTAATTCTTAATAAACGTTGGCAAACTTCTTTTAATTAGTAATAATTATTACCATTAACCTTATATCTCTACTTAAAATTAACTAAAATTTAATCTCTATACAGACCCATACTACTCTTATCTATGTAATGGACTACTGATTTTATGTTCTTTTCCTTTTTCTGCTATACAACCTATTTAGTGTTCCTTTTTCTTTTTTGTTCCTTTCTTCAATATAAGAATTTAGTTTCTCTATTTTCTCATAAATTGACTTTATTATTTTATCTCTTTTTGACTCCATTGTAGAACTTGATTCCCCTGTTTGAATTTCATTGGTTAATTTCACTGTTACGCTCCTTTTTGTATACCCTTCTCTACTCCCTTTTTATGTGGCGATGATGATTAGAATTAATTTTTATATTTTCAATGTTACATAATTTATCTAAAAATTACTCATATCATTTTGTATATTTTATTTACTCATTCCACTTCTTTTGTGTCGTTATCATTTCAATATATTTCTCTTTGATTTCTTTTTAATCCATTTCATTTCCCAAGTTTTACTTATGCAACTTATTGCCTTTTTTTTCCTTCTCTTTTTTTTCCCTAGCATTTCCTTCTACTCTGTTCTACATATGGTTTTAAGTTTTTTTACTCTCTTATATTCTGACAATGTTTACTCTTCCCTAATACTATATTCCCTTATTCCTTTTTGCTCTTATCATCTTCCATCACTTAAATCTTTTTCATTTACTTAGCAATCTTTGAACAACTTTAAATTTTACTTATTCTTTTTTTCCTCTCTTATTACTTAATCAATTAATATTTTGAATAACTTGACATTTCACTTCAACTACTTTCCTTATTTTCTACTCCTGGCCACAACCCTTTTACATTTTTTATATTTTGTTCTAAATACAAACTTCTTTAATCTTTTATACCATCCAATCTCATTATTATTTCTTACATCTTTCATACATTCTAATTTTAATCTTTTACATTTTTTATGTTTATTGTGTTCCCATATTTATTAAGGTAATGATTTATAATATCTGTAATTCTTATTTGCCCTACCACGTTGATCATTTGTACCTATGTTACTGTAGAAATATTAAAAGAATCTTTTATTCTTATCTTTTTCTCGCAATGGAAAAGCAATTTTTTGGGCCAAAAAAATTTGATTGCTTTTCTTTTCCCTTCTTTTCTCTTTCTTCATTTCCTTCTCTGGTAATTTTTTCCCCCTTTGTTGTTCTTATTTCTTTCTTTTCTTTTTGTTTTGTTCTTTTTTTTTTCCAGGTGATTACAATGTTTTTCCCTCTTCTGCGGTTCCTTTTTTCCCGGTTTTCTTTTGATAATGTATTATTCTTATTACTTAATTTAAGAGTTTTAGTTTTTTATATCCTATCCACTGACTTTCTGTTTTACGTGTAATCTCCTTAGAGGTGGTGCATTTGCTCTCTGTTTCTATATTTAAGAATGTCCCTGCCGATGGTGTTATAATACATGTCCCCCATTTCTCTCTCTCCTCTTTCACCCATTGCTTCCCTATCTCAGTTTACATCATTTGTTGCTCTTTTAGCCAGTCTATCATTTAGTGCTCAACCTTACTTAATACTTGACTATCTTATTTATGAGCCCTTCACTCTTGCTTTCATCTAGTTGGCTGACATTTCAGATTTAAGTCGTTATCTATTCTTTTTCAGGTACAGTTCATAATCACTATCCATATCTATTTAATTCATATCCCTAAGGTTGGATGCATTCATTTGCTAGGATAGTATTAATATTTACTGTTATATGTCCTTTGTTTCTTTCTATTTGCTTAGTAAGTAGTCCTTATACATTTATTGTTTCATTTGTTTTCTGATGATGTATACATGCATATATATACATATACATATGTATATATATATATATATATATATATTTCTCTACCTATTTTAGTCTTCATTTACTCTTGGTAAGCTACTTTGCATGGCAATGATGATAGTAATTAATTTTGATGTCTTGAGTTTTATATAGTATCTCCAGAAATTGCTGTGAATAGACTTTTTATAATTTGATTTTGATCTTATTCATTGTTTTTCAATTGGATTTTATAAATATTTATCCACCCTTTTTTTTTTTCTTGCTTATTCTATTGATTTTGTTCATTTGGTTTCTATTATTTTGCTAAAATATTATCCATGGTAACATTAAATTTCTTTTCCAATTGCTAACCTTTCGTTCTTCTATATTACTGTTCTTATTTAATGCCAAAAAAGGGAAAAACCCCTATTATCTTATTTTACAATTCTTATGATATTTATGGTTTTCCTACTATT